TCTTCATTGCCTTTATATTTCTTGTAAATAAAAGATAGGACCAGTAACAAAAAAAAGCCAGCTTCCACAAACCAGGATTCTGAAAAAGTAGCATTAATTTTATCTTAAAAGTTTTACCTGTGGAAAAGAGCTGAGTCTGGGTTTGATCAACAGGGGAAAGAAAAGCTTTAATGCTTGTATTACAGCACAGCACAACATGAACACAAAGAAACTGTCTTCATCTGACAGGTGGTCTTTCAGCAATAAGCAAGAGTAGTCCTAATGACACAAGTCCTCTAGTATCTAAGGTCATCAAATGTAAGTCACAAAGTGCATGTTTTCTTACCTACAGCTGCATTTGTTCCACCAACATTTATATCATTTTCATCATCAAATTCTATTCTGACCCCTTTTCCATTGCCTGCTGACACACCACAGCCTCCACTTCTGCAGAGGGAAATGGGGACAACTCCATACACGTAAGCCAGCATGATAGGAACTCCAATACCTACGGAGGAAAGCAGAGTCTTTCATTAAATGTGACTTGTATTTTAGAGTCTTTCATAAAAGCAATTTCATTTTCCATGATTACTTAGTATTTCTCACTTGAAAGAAATCAGGAGAGAGCAAGATTAAGAAATATTGGTAAATCACTAAGGTGAAATGACAGGAAAGCACTCTGAGCCGGCAGAATGTCCTCTGCCAGACCTGGTAGGCAGGAGAGCTTAACACGCGATGAAGTTAATGCTTCTAGTACATCCCAAACATCTTTTGCAAACGTAAAAATACTTTCCAAGGTTCATATAAGCGCCAATGGAGACTAAATAATGTTCCATCTGAGAAGCAGAAATAGCAGAGATCAATTTCAAATGTTATTCAACTATAAATATTAGTATCTCTACTAATTTAATAAGGGGCTTGATTTTGCATCTACTGAAGTAAGACAGGGCTTTGCTATCAATTAATAGGTCTTAACATTATTATTACTATGGGATCATTCATCTTTATTGTTTCACAGATTCAATTAAAAGAGATTTAATTACACAAGTTTTCCTTAAAAGTAAACAATTCTGTGAAGCAGAGTGGCAGGAGTCAAGGGAAACCAGTGAAAGGAACTGTGGGCTAAAGCATATAGACATATACACACACATCCATGTCACCATGTCTAGGGGGACTGACAGTTACCCCATTGACATATGAATTAAACCATTCTATGACTTCGCTGACTGAAGTACACAGAAGGTACAGAAAAACAGCAGACTGAAAAATGGCAAGCTGGCACATTCTGAAAAAGCCAGGGCAGAGGCAGACCCAATGCAAAGGTCCAGCCAAAAAGAAGGGCTGCAGTTATAGGAAGTCTCTTTCACTACCAATTCTTCAGCATTCCAGGATGAAGTCCATATTATCCAAGTTATTCTTTTGGAAGCCATGAAATGCCCTGAGACAGGAGGCCATGTGTTAATGGCAACAGGGCAAGGGGATAAACTCCACAAAATAAATTCCAACTGCTTTCCCTGAAAAGCCAAATTTTATCTGTCAGGAATAATAAACATCTCCAGAGAATGAAATAAATCAGACCTATATGAGACCATCTAGGAGATGTCATGCTCCACTACCTGTTTATCTGGCACCACAGCTACATGAGGACAACGCAGTGCAGACAGCCAGCAGAGATGGTTTACGACTAGCATATCTGCATTGGCACAGTGGCCAACTGTTGTGGCTTTAAACTGCTTGTTAACATCTTCATGCCCAATTTCAACTATCACTTGCTAAAAGCGGCCCTGTCTTCCTGAGGCCACTCACTCTTCTCTGAGCATCACTTCTGGCACAAGGGGGAACACCACATACACAACTGCATGACGAATTGGATCAGGGGACTGATCCAGCTTAAAACTGAAGGGTGGGTCTTAATGTGAATCAGTTATCCATGGCAGTTTACTGTGCAGCAACAAGAAGTAAAGCAGTGTGGGTAAGTGCACTCCTCTCAGAAAAAAATGAAATTGTTTACAGTGATCTTGAAATTACATGGTAAGATGACACAAGTCTTTTACAACATACAGCTGTACTTTCCTCAAATGCAATCCTCAACAAACCCCAAGAGAATGAAAGTGACAGAATTCAAACTGACACCCAGAGCTTAACAAATAGTTTGTCAGCTACTGTCATGTTAAATGCAAGAGACTGTTTTATTTTTTTTATTGAGAAAAGTTACTGAAATACAAACAGATTCTGTGGCAACAGTTTTTTCTCAGTCAGTCATTTAAAATCAAAAAAAGTTTTAAATACTTCAGTTTTAAAAGCCAGATATGACAATGTGGAAACTTCAATTGCAAGATAAAAATGAATTTTAATTCTTCATTTTAACACGGCATTTCCTAAAGTACTGTTCTCTCCATTCTGCCCCAATAAATGTATAACTTTCGACTCCTCTCACTGTCTCTGCTCCTTCACCTATAAAAGGGAACTATAGGACTTAGCTGCTTTATTCATGAGTGCTTACAGAGTTCTGTTTGCAAGGTGCTACCAGTACACAAAATAGTAGTATTTGCTTACCTACAGTTACTGCAGCTACAACTGGAGAAACAATTACAGATAAGGTCACGCCACCTGCTATAGCCAAGTTTCGCTTGTGCTTTGAAATGTCTTTGCCTTCGTATCGGTTGTGAATCTTGAGGGAGGAAGAGAAGAAAAGGTTTTTAGAGTATTGCCATCCATAATACACTGAGACAAGGATGGAAGAACCGACATAGCTTGGAATCTGTACCCTGCCCTCTTCCAGAGGGACCACGGTCTATGTCACAATTTATTCCTTATCTCAAAGCAAACAGAATTTATACATTTTTTTTAATTTTAGGTAACTTCTTAAAAAGTTAGAAGTCCTCCCATCCAGCAACTAAGCATTTAACTTTAAGCCTCAAGTTATAAGAGCTAAATAATTGAACTTTTTTTTTTGTTTAATCATTACTCTAGCTTATATGTCTGGGAAAAAGCACACAGTTTTCAGGATCAAAGAATTACTGCATCTGATCAAATTGACACTTTTTATTCCCAGCCTGCTTTCCTCTGAACAATACAGAGTGCAACTTTAACAGATTATTAGATCTGAGGAAACAGAAGTTGATGTAATAGAGCCATTAAAGTCTTGTACTAATGCAGCCTGCACCAAACACAGCCTGGGAGGATGGCAGAGCAACAGTCTCATTGCTCTGACACCCTCTCATGACTTGCTGCTGATACAGGAAGTATTTTACTCAACCTGGGTCATAGCTGTGCCACTATTTACAAGGAATCTGCTAACCCAAATCCTTACTGATGGTTCAAGTCTGCAATTACTCTAAAATGTGACTGTCTCAAACTTACCTACCGGAATTCCCAAATGAACCTGAAAGGCCTTCAAAGATCACTGTTTTACAGAGATTTCCTATTTTTAGTAGGTTTCATGTACTCTCTGTAGGAACTGGTCTTTTCAGAGACATGCACTTTATCTGCCATCATTCTTGGTTAAAACATAATTACAAAGGAACAATAGGTTGCTACCTTAATGGCTATGCTAAGGCTAAGATAATCCTCCTTACATCTAAGGAGGAACACAAAAGAGAGTAGTGAGAGGATAAATACAATGTATTTGTATCAATATGCTACTGCAAAAAGAATGACAAAAAATGAGCTGCAAATTTTATTAAATGTTGTGCTTTCTAAATTGTAATTTCAATTAGAGATTTGGTAGGGTATTTTATCTTGGAATAAAGTATATGTATTTGTTCAGGCAAGACAGGCAAGGGAAGGACAAAGAACTCTGCACGCTGTGTAACAAGAATCCATTTAATTGCTCTGAGATTCAGTATACAAAGAGCAACATGGATTGAGGGAGCACCTGAATGTGGAACATACCTATGGATTAAAAAGGAAAAATTGTACATCACTCTCACAGTATAAATGTGTACAAATTAGAAACTCAGGATTCTGATCAGCTTTCATGGGCATCTGAGCAAGTTATCAGGATGATCTCAGGCACTGAATTTTACTGTTATGGGCAATTTTAACTACTGAAACAAAAGGCACACAGCAAACCAAAGTATATACAAAGGCTATTGGATTCCTTAAAGAAAGCCACAAAAAGGAATGGAAGGGAGTGGTTACAAAGAAGAAAGTGATTGGAAAAATCAAGATAGAAAGTTACACTGGCAGGGATAACTATGAAATAAGACACTTCAGAATACCGAGTAATGAATAAATAATGTCCAAACAAAAATACCGGGATAGAAGAAGAAAGATTTCAATAAATGTGGAAAACTGGTAGGTTACAAGACTTGTATCTCTAAAAAGAGAGGACTAGCAGTTCCGTAAGCATACGCACAAACTCTTCCAATGCAGAAAAGACAGAATGTTGTAAAAGAACAATGAAGCTCCCTTTACTGAAGCAGCAGCAGCATCAAGAAAACAGAAAGTAGGTCAGATTACTATGAATGGTTATAAAAGAACAGCATGAGGGTGTCAGGACAAAACCAGAAAGATTAAAATAAAGGAAACAAGAAGCAAGGGACATCAAAGTCAAGAAGAAATTATTCTACCAGTATGCTGCTAGTAAGAGGAAGACCAAAATGAATCAATTTGCTTTTTTAAAAAAAGGAAACAGGCAGCAGATGAAACTGGTAGCCCATTCAATTTTTTTTCTCTTCAATTGTCACTAAAGAGCAACTGTAAGCCAGGTGACTGGTAACAAAGGAATAAAATCTCTAGGAAAACAGCGGGTTAGAGCATAGTCACAGAAATTGATCTGAAAAATCTCAGCAGACCAAATTTCAGGGCCACCAATAATAATTTTTGAAAACTACTATTCACAGATGTCTTAAAAAAAAATAACATCAGAAAAACTGGTAAAAGTTAAGCTGCAATGATGATCTTGCAATTCATAAATGTGTAAAACAAGCAGTTTGGGAATTAAAAAACAGTTAACTGAACTTCAATTTCCTGCAAACCGAGAGCTTGTAGACACCAAAGCAAATGCAGGAAACAGAGGCCACACTGATTTTCCGCCCCCCCCCCCCCCCACCCACAAAAA